AATAGCTAATCACAAGATTAAGTATTTGGGAGTAAATATAACTAGAAGCACAAAAGATCTATTCAAAGAAAATTACAAAACATTTTTACAAGAAGCATACTTGCTTTTTAAGCCACACTGTCGTCAACAATCTGCATTATGCATATAACAAAACCTGCTTGTTTTAAACCAGAAGAACCTGAAGAGTTTGCTGCAGAAGGTCAAGGACTGCAGAATCCAATGTGAATTGAAGCTCAACATCAGAAAAACAGATTTCTCACCACTGGGCCAATTGGCAGCAGCACCTCAATAGACGGAGAAGAATTGAGATTGTTCACAATTTTAGCTCACTTTGTGCCACAATCAACTCTCATGGCACCAGCAGTCAGAAAATTAAAAAAAAATAATTGTATTGGATAAATTTATTGCCAGAGACCTCCCCAGAGTGCTGAAGAGCAATGATGTGAGTCTGGAAACAGGTGTGCCAGATCCAGGCAATTACTTGTCTTTGCAGTTTCTTGCTGTGCATCAAAGAGATATTGGCTAAGGGTGGTAAAAGCAGAATTGATACCTTTGAGTTGTGGTGCTGGAGAAGAGTATAGAATTGCCAAGGGTTGCCAAGAAAACAAACAGATCTATCCTAGGGAGTGTGAAACCAAGTTGTTTCTTGGAGGCAAGGATTTTGAATCTATGTCTCATACTTTGGACATGTTGCCAGGAGGGAAAGTCTTTGGAGAAGGACATCCTGCTTGAAGGGTAGAGGACAATCCTGGATGTGATGGATCGACAGTAGCTGGGTATTGAAGCTTTGTGTATTGGAGATGGTGAGACTGGCTCAGGATAAGGCAGTGTTCAGAGCTATTGTGCGGAGTGTTGCTGGGAATCATGGGTGACTCAGTGGCACCTAACAACAGAACCATCATCAGCAATAATTAGATATTTATTGGTTATATTATTTTGGAGACTTTTGGCAAAAAGTAATAGAAAATCCAAGTCAGATCAGTATAAACAACAAGAATATTTTTAACTAAGTCAGGCATTTGACTGTGTAGATCATAACAAATTATTGCTGACTCTGAGAAGAATGGGAATCCCAGAACACTTGATCGTTCTAATGCAAAACTTATACTTGGACCAGGAGGCAGTCGTCAGAACAGAGCCAGGGAACACTGCATGGTTCAAAATTGGAAAGGGCGTACACCAGGGATGCATCCTATCTCCATACCTTTTCAACTTATATGCAGAACAGATTATCCGGGAGGCGGGGCTCTATGAGGAGAAATGTGGGGTCAAGATTGGTGGACGATTTATCAACAATCTGCGTTATGCGGATGACACAACCCTGCTTGCTGAAACTGAAGAAGACCTGAAGCACCTGCTGCAGAGTGTCAAGGACTGTAGCCTACAATATGGATTGAGGCTCAATGTCAAAAAGACAAAGATTCTCACCACTGGACCAATTGGCAGCATCAGGATGGATGGTGAAGAGATTGAGATTGTACACAGCTTTAGTTTGCTTGGCTCCATAGTCAACAGTCTTGACACCAGCAGCCAGGAAATTAAAAGGCACATTGCCATGGGAAAGACTGCTGTTAGGAACCTCTCCAACGTGCTGAAGAGCAATGGTATCTCTTTGGAGACTAAGGTGCGTCTGATACAGGCCATGGTCTTCGCAATCACCTGTTATGCATCAGAGAGTTGGACAGTGACCAAGGAGGATAGAAGGAGAATTGATGCCTTTGAGTTGTGGTGCTGGAGAAGAGTATTGAGAATACCATGGACTGCTAGGAAAACAAACAGATTTGTCCTGGAAAGGGTTAAACTGGGTGGCTCCTTGGAGGCAAGGATTCTGAGGCTCTGTCTAACATACTTTGGACATGTTGTGAGGAGAGACCGGTCCTTGGAGAGGGATATCATGCTTGGGAGGGTGGAGGGACAGCGCAGGAGAGGAAGGCCCTCTATGAGGTGGATTGAGTCAGTGACTGGGATAATTGGTATGGGAGTGTCAGAGACAGTGCGATTGGCACAGGACAGATCGGAGTTTAGGGCTGTTGTACATAGGGTCGCTATGAGTCCCAGGCGACTCGACGGCACATAACAACAACAACAAGAAGTCTGGAAGTGTAGTGATGGTTTATATTTTAAAAATGTGATGTGGTAAAAAAACCACATTATTTAAAAACTTTATAATTTTCTCTATATAGGATCATATCAAATATCTACAAATGGAGTTTTAATTCTTTTATTTCATTTTCTTGTTTTATTACTTTGTGAAGACTTCCAACACAATATTCACTAGAAGTCATGATAAAGAATATCTTTCTTTTGTTCTCTTTTGAATGCAGCTAAGCCGTGAATCTTGTGCCTAGAACCCCAGCAAACATTTTATAATGTATCATTGGCCTGAATTTAGTGTTATCTTCACAAAAATACTGTACATTAATTTGTTTGGTCCTAAATTCCTGAATCAGGCCAAAGGAATGAGTTGGCCACAAGTGGCTTAGGCCTTTCCTGTTCCACTTAGAGTGAGATTAGGTTAGATTAGATTAACTAGAGTTCATCTCCCAGCATCACTGCCACCATAGGACTTCCTTCACCCAATACACTTCATTCCTCTCATGAAGAAATACAGGCAGGTATCAAGATAAGAAATTAGTATTGACCTGATTTTTGCTTGAACTGGGTTGGGGAATGCACCTTCGGCCAATGGCCAATTAAGTTTCTTAATAATTTATCTATAAATTGAACATGTATGCTCACCATACTTTAGAAGGTGAGATTGTACAGGCTTACCACAAAGAGCACATAGAGTAGAATAGCCATCCTTGTGATCTGACTGAGGGAGGAAGGGCAGGTCATGTGGAGTGGTGACTCTCCCTGGTTGATAAATGATCAGCCTCCTGCCATCCCACAGTCAGCTACCTTATCCCATGCCTTCACAGAAGAGTAGGGAAAGTAGGCATCAAACACAAAGAGGAATTCTTTTCTGAATATTTACTTATGGTTGACTTTTAATATCATATTTATTTTATTGGTCAACAGTAGGAAAGCTTCCCATTGAATTGTGGTGTTTGTCTCTAAGTGAGGCTAGTTATTTAGTGGCACTCCAGTATGAAGCATGGTTTCCATCTTAGAGGAACTCAAAATTGAAAGGCCAAGGCAGGGGAAAGAGAAGCCTCCAAGGAGAGCAAAGGCTCAGGCCAGGTGGGCTGGGTGGGAGGAGCTTGTGGGGAGGTGCTGACCATACCTAATGAATCCCCTCTCCCCTCGCTGCCAGCAGTGGAGGGAAACAGCGATGAGCTTGATGAGCCTGTCAAGGCTGTGTTTGCTGATGTGGGGTTTGTCTCAGAGCACAATGTGATGAGCCTGAACTCGATCAACTGGTCCCGGGTCCTCGTGCAGATGGCTCACTTCTTCTTTGCCTACTTCCGGTGTGCATCATCCATGGATGTGGACCCCCTTCCCCTGGTTGAGGTGGTGGTGCCGGCTGGAGCGGCTGGGAATCTTGCAGGTAAGGAGATGTCATGGCTTGAGCAGACTGTCACAAGTGTTTGCTGCACAAGAAAAACAGTCACCAGAGGTCAGCACCACTGTGTATGTAACTTCACAATATCAGCAATAATAAACGTTAACCTACAAGCAAGTATTGGTAGACTGGCAGGATGTACAAATGTGGACAAGTGATAGGGATTGCTCCCATGACCATACGTGGATTTGGTAGATGATAGTGCTACATGCATATTAGCATATGCTGTAAATATGTCTGTGTGTGTAGCAGAGGTGACAGTAGGCAATAAATAAACTTCTTAATCATAATGAGATATCCTGCAGGAATGATTTGCTGGTTTTGGGATCCTGGGACCATAGTCTTGGGGGATATCAAGATCAACTGACGTGTTGTTACTGTTGTATGTGTTGTCAAGTAGACTGTGACCCATAGCGACCCTATCCTGAACCAACCTCACCATCTCTGACACATTTGACCCTTTTCCACACTTACTTTTTCAGTCTGTCTCATCCAGGGTCTTCCTCTTCTGTGTTGATCCTATACCCTTCCAAGCATCATATACTTTTATAAGGACCTTCCTGGGGACATTCCCAAAGTATGTGGGAAGAAGCTTGAGAACCTTTGCCTCCAAGGAGCAAACTGATACCTTCCATGCTGGGACATTTTGTTCTCTTAACAGTCTATGATATATTCAGTACTCTTCTCCAGCATCACAACCCAAAAGCATCTATTCTTTTGTCATCTGTTTCCATTGTCCAGCTCTGAGATATGTAGCAAGCAATTGAGAAGACCATAGCCTGGATGAGGCACACATTAGTCTCTAGACTGACGTTGTTGTTTTTTAGCACTTGAAAGTCCATGACAGCAGGCTTTGCCAATGCAACTTGTCTTTTGTTTTCCTGACTGGTGGTACCAAGAATGGTGAGTGTGGATTCAAGCAAGATGAAATAATTAAAAGCTTCAGTCCTTTCTCTATCTGTTGGCCTTGTGGTGAGAATCTTTGAATCTTTGTTTTCTTGATGTTGAGATACAATCCACATTGAAGGCTGCAGTCCTTGACTTTCTTTTTTTTTTTTTAGTCTTTGACTTTCTGCAGCAAATGTTTCAAGTCCTCCTCAGTTTCGGTAAGCAAAGTTGTATAATCATCTTAATGCAGATTGTTGGTGAGTCTTTCTCCAATCCTGATGCCACATTGTGCAAGTCCAGCCTCATGAATTATCTGTTCTGCATATGGATTGAAAAGATGTGGAGAAAGGTTACATTCCTGACCCACTCCGTTCTTGGTTTTGAGCCGTGCAGTGTTCTCTTGCTCTGCTCGTACAACAGCTTCTTGGTGTAGATCTAGGTTTTGCAAGAGCACAATCAGGTGTTCTGGGATTTTCACTCTTTCTAATATTAGCCATAAATTGTTAGAATCCATACAGTTAAATTTCTCTGCAGAGTCAATAAAACCTACCTTGGGGCTTGAGGAACCATACTGCCCAGACCCTCACAGAGAAGCTGGGCTACCAGGGCTTGGGGTACGCAGAACCAGGCTGGGAGCCAGGCAGAGCCACAGCACCCAGACATATGTTGGGAGCAGAGCCCAGAGGAACTTCTTCACTGGGGAGCACACAGATTATGGGCAGGAATGACTGAAGCCACAGCCTTCATATTAGGGGTTAGTTAGAGGTACCCTGTATGTGTATGATATGGAAGACCAAGCCTGATTACCAAATTTATCTGTCAGTTTTTGTATTGCGGAAGTGTATTTGTATGTTGCTGTTCTAGATAAGCATGCATTTTCTTATCTGTCCTTTGCTCCTTAGGGTATAGTGTATGTCTGTCAGATGCAGTACTAAAGCAGAGCACACAAAAAAATAGGAAGAAGAGAAACTAGGTAGAAGGACTGGCTACCACTTCTGCAGTAACAGGCTTCCAAAAACCTTATGAACAATAGAGCACACTTAAACTATTAGATACAGCACTGGAGGCTAAGTCTTCATATTGGGAAACACAGAAATGATGAATAATTTGCAAAGAGCCACTAGTAATTGGAACATGGAATGCAAAAAATATGAATGTAGGAAAATTGGACATTGTTAAAAAAGAAATGGAATGCATAAATATTGACATACTAGGCATTGATGAGATGATTGGTATGGACTACTTTGAATCAGACTATGTCAGGAGTGAAAAAGTGAGGGAAATGGGGTTACATTCATAAAAAAACAAAAAAGGACCATTTTTTGATCTGTCCTTGAAGTACAATGGTGTGAGTTACAGGATACTCTTCATATGCATACAAGGAAGACCTGTCAGTACCAGTATCATTCAAATATATGCACCAACAACTAAACCCAAAGAGGAGGAAATTACAGATTTCTACCAACTTTTGCAGTCTAAAATTGATTGAATGTCCAATCAAGAATCATTAATAATAATTGTTGACTGGAATGCAAAAGCTGAGAACAAGGAAGGATCAGTAGTTGGAAAATATGGACTTGGTGACAGAAGTGAGGCCGGAGATGGAATGATGGAATTTTGTACACTCAATGATTTATTCATTTCAAATAGCTTTTATGAAAGAAAAAAACAAACCCATAAACAGCGACTATATACATGGACCTCACCTGATGACACAGGAATCAAATTGATTACAGGATGACAGGATCCACCAAGACAGTGTTCACAATCTTTCTTTGATGAATAGTGATAGAGTCTTTAATGCTTTTGAACGGCCATCTGAGGTGGAACTATGGACTCTCTCCATCTAGAACAAAGAAGAGGTTGCATAGAAACAATTAGTCCAGAGAAATAATGGACCATGTGAAACTCGACCTTCATGACTTGAGACCAGAATTACTAGATGTGACCAGTTTTACCTCTGCTGATCACTCTGAGAGGGATCACAGGAGAAAGTCCTGGATAGAGAAGAGAACATGTAGAACAAAACTCAAACCCATACTGTTGAGTACAATTCATAGTGACCCTTTGAACAACAGATTTGAACCTTATCCAATACTGTGCCATCCTCACCATTTCTGACACACTTGAGCCCATCACTGCAGTCATTGTGTCACTCCATATCATTGAGGGTCTTCCTCTCCTTTCTGACCCTACAACTTTCAAAGGATGATGTCCCTTTTCAAGGGATAGGCACTTGTAGCAACATGCCCAAAGTATATGAAACAAAGCTTTGCCATCTTGCTTCCAAGGAGTATTGTGGTCACACTTTCTCTAAGACATATTTGTCTATTCTTTGGGTGGTCAGTGAGATATTCAATACTCTTCTCCAGCATCATAACTCAAAGGCATTAATTTTGCTCCTGTGTGTAGCAGGTGATTGGAAATACTATAGCTTAAATCAGGTTCACCTTAGTCTTTAAACGGACATCATTACTCTTCAGGTATTTAGAGATGTCTCTGACAGCAGACTTTCCCAATGTTACATGCCTCCAGATTTCCTTCCTACTGGTACCGAGGGTGTTGATTGAGGATCCAAGCAAGACTAAATTGTTGACAATTTCAGTCTTTTCTCCATTTGTCATGATGTTGCCCAGTGATATTGGCCCAGTGGTGAGGAATTGCCTCGTATTTAAAAAGGCATTTGTTGCCAGTTTGGGGCTGCTTTAAAGTTTCGGAAGATGCATGGAGGAGCTGGATTCTACAAAGGTGTGTTTTCTGTTTTGGTTGAGGGTTGGGTGTAGTCTGTTGCTCACAGTTGGGTGTGAGCTGATTGGATTTGGCCTCATATTTTAAAAAGGTATTTGGGCCGTTGGGCCTGGTTTTAATTGTGTTTAAACATTCTTCTAAGTAGTATAGCACTTGTTTGTCACTTTGCTGTACAAAGGTAACTAGTTTTTGCTGTGATGATAAACACTGTGACAGTGATGTGTCAAATGTGATAATGAGCTCTCAAATTATAACAAGCTTGGAAACAGGAGTGGCATCCACTTCTGAAATATTTTGTCTCTGGAAACTCTATGAACTTGGAGAAAAGATGAAAGTTATGTGTGTTCAGGACCTACATTTGTAGTGTGACTATAAGTAGTCTATGACTCGATGGCACTTAACAACAACATCAAAGTTTATAGCAAACTTTGATTTCCATTCATTCATTTCATTCATTGTTGTACATTTTCCTCTCTAACCCCCCCCCAGTTCACTTTTATCTTTAAAAAGCTTATTTCATTGTTGCACAATTTTCTCCCTCCCCTGGCCCCCAGTCCACTTTCCTTTGTACCTCTTATTCTGAACTGTTGTCTTGCAAAGAATACTTAATCATATGTTCCTTTTAAACAGGTCTTTCCCTCATCTGTTTCAATGCAATGTTCATTATTTATCCCCTCTTCTTAGTTTCCCCCAAACCCTCATGTCAGTCCTGTTTTATAACAGTGGCATTATGCAGTATTGATGTTGAGATGCAATTCATTTTCAAAAGGCTGCAGTCCTTCATCATCTACAGCAAGTACTTTTTAAGTCATTGCTATTAGCAAGTGAAGTGCCATCTGTATAATAGGTTGTTGATAAGTCTCACTCCAGTCTTGATCCTTCATTCTTCATAAAGTCTATCTTAGAGAGTGACAAGAGTGTGGTGGAACCTCAAAATTATGGCCCCTTAGCTGTCCTTTGAACCTGGAACATGCAACCAAGATAGATTAATAATAATGAGTGACTGGAATCCAAAAGTTGGGAACCAGGAAGAAGAGTCAGTAGTCGGAAAACGTGGCTTTGATGATATAAATGAAACTGGAGATAGAATGATAGAATTTTGTATACTCAATGATTTATTTGTTGCAATTACCTTTTATAAGAAATACAAACAGTGATTATATACATGGACCTTACCTGATGGACCATACAGGAATCAGATTGATTACATCTGTGGAAAGAATCACTGTAGAAGTTCAATATCAGCTGTGAAAATTAGGCCAGTTATGAAACAGACCATCAACTACTGATATACAAGTTCAAATTGAAGCTAATTAAAATGAAATCAAAGCCACAAGAACCAAACTTTG